CTCTGCTGCTCTGCTTGAAGACAGAAAAGGAGACCCGCAGCCGGAGTCTGACGCCAAAGCGAAGGTTTTGAAAACGACGCTACCTCTTTGAGGAAGAGGTGCCGGGTCATGAACTGACACTAAAAAAGGTGGTTTTATCTTTTCAGCTTTGTTTTTGTTAGCGGTCTGCTTAGTGACGTATGCTTCGGGAGGTGCACTCATGACGCAGTCTGCCTCACTGAAATCAAGCACTGAACTCTTTGGAGTTCTCACGGTGCGACATGAACTTTGTGATGGCCAAAAATCGCACTGTTTGATCCGGCCTTAACCGGGTCTTGAGATACTTTGCTAAGAGACAAACTCCTTTTGGTGGTAGGCACTAAATATACCAGAAGTAACCAAACTCCCACTGTAAAAACAAATTGATTGACCAATAATAATGGCCAAACCAATATTTGTTATGGATTTATTTGCTTCTGTGGTTTCATTCTTCCACATCTTTCTCTTTATTCATCAAACTACTTCTTGTGTTGTGTTTATTTCAGCTTTGTGAACCAGTTCTGTTCTTAAATTTGATGTCACAATAATTCAGTATTTTAGTTAAAGGAGAAAATGGAAACATTTAAAGGTAAAGATTAAAAGCCTCGTCCCTCCTCACGCTGCTGAGCTGCTGGTGAGCTGTGTGATGATGTCCAGAAGCGGCTCAGCCGGCGTCTGCTCTGACATTTATGGTCCTATACCTCTTCATTAACACCATCTAACCAAGCATACGAGTCCGGCTGCCCAGCTCTCCTCTGGTTCTCTGGAGGTGGAGGATTAATTGGTGGCTGTGTGTGAACAAGACATGGTGAAAACGGTGTGTTTATAAGGAGGTGGTGCACAAGAAAGTGCGTGTTTGTTTTTATGTAGACACGTTAAGGTTAGAGATCTATTTCTGCATCATCAGTCATTATGAGACAGATCTGAGATGTACTAATCCAAGAAGAAAAACACGAGGTTCTCATGATCTTGGATTATATTTCTCCTTTTTGTTTCCATCAGGCGGTGGAGTCTCAGATCAGGAGTTTTGGACAGACACCCTGTCAGCTGCTTATTGAGCCACACGCACCAAGGAGCTCAGCAATGCAAGTGGTAAGTGGTGCACTAACGTAGCTCATCGAAACGCTGACCTGTTCTTTGATTACATGAAGTTTCAAAAAGCGGGTCTAGCAGTCGAGTATCTACCTTGACTTGTGCAACACACTTCTGTCTACACTGAGCTCTTCTTATGATCGGTGACTTATTCCTTTCTTTATTTTCCATTTCCCCCCGTCGGCCCGTATCCTTGTTCTACTGTGGGAAAATGCAGTTCTGGTTTTTAAGGGATCCCCTCAATCATAATTAGTGAGGTGTTTTTGAAGGGGAGAGATCACAAGCGTTTGTGTGCCTTTAGTTGGAGGGTTTTCAGGGGGAGGAAAGGCAAAGACTCACGCTGGAAACTTGGTTCTGAGCCAGATTTTCCACCTGAGCTGGAGCAGATCGACTAAAGAGAGCAGTGAGCCGCAGCTCTGAAGCGGTGGCCCTTTAAGGGCCAAGAAGTGCAGTCGGCAGTGCCTGCTTGTGATGGGTTGAGGTCCCAGGAGTGCCTATTAGTGCGGTGTCCCTGCGGCGCTGACAGCTGGCTGTAGACCACCACCCAGCACACACACAACCTCTAGCTGTTCCTCAGCATCTGACTCACAACTGTGTGGGCGGATACCTACGAAAGGGTTTTATTTTTACTCCGTTTTCAAAGACAAACTATTCAGAAACAGATTTCAGCCCCTCGGTTTCCTCCAACTGCTCCGCTCACTTAGCTTTAGCGTGATCGCGCTCTCCACTCTCTCTCCTGCTCTCGCACGTGAGTGTGTTGTCAGAGTGTCGGCATCTGCCCTTGCTGGTGGTAATGATACCGTCAGTGCTCCTAGTTAGCTGTCAGACACGCCGGATTTTCTCAGGTCTGTTCCTGATGTTAAACACTGATGTTCCTCTTCTTTACACGCGAGGAGGAAAATAGCTTTCTGTTCAAGCTGCTAAGTACAAACACTTCTTAAAGTGTTCAAAAGCTTGTCTAAGCAGAGGAAATGGTCTGACAGCTCAATGGAAGGACTTTTGGTTATAGCTGGATATGTTCTCTGTTGTATGTTCAGAAAAACACGTTTAAATCAGTGACTTCTATAATATAAAATATCCATGAGCATTTCTATACACTTCATAATTCATAAAGCTCAGAAAATAAAGCTTTATAGTTTTTTAATAGGCTGACAAAACTATGGTTTAACAGTTGAAGAGCTAGTGGATTGTGGTGAGATCTGTTTTTGTGCTGCCTCTGATAAAAAACCGCTGTGGTTGAATAAAAGAATATTCAGTGCAGGATTTGCTTTTTTGTTATTTAAAAGAAATCGGTTGTCAAATCCCTCTCAGTTAGTCCCTGTAAAACGCTGTTAAATTAACTTTGTACCAAATCATTAGCCTAGAAATCTAGAGCAGGCATAGCAGTAAGTTCTTTATTCCCAACAATAATGTATATTATTTCTTCAACGATGGACTGCCCTGTTGACTGATTGCTGCAGCGATGAGTACTTCATGTGCTTCATTGGTCTGATTGGTTCAAGTGCTGTCCAGTTGTATGTGCAGACAAGTTTCTCCCTATGACCGGTTACTTCAGTGGTTCGCGGTGAGGCTATATGCTGTGCCCATCCAAATAAAAAAGGCATGCACACTAATATGTTGTTGGACTGCCTTTAGCTTTGATCACGGCACACATTTGCTGTGTCGTAGTTTTGATATGGTTCTGCAGCATCACCAGATTTATCTCCATCCAGTGTTGTATTCATGTTTCACCAAGATCCTGCACTGATGATGGTTGAGTCTGACCGCTGCACAAAGCCTTCTCCAGCACATCCTAAAGATTCTCAATGGGGTTAAGGTCTGGACTCTGTGGTGACCGATCCATGTGTGAAAATGACGTCTCATGCTCCCTGAACCACTCTTTCACTATCTGAGCCCGATGAATCCTGGCATTGTCCTCTTGGAAAATGCACGTATCCTCAGGGAAGATGGAATAACCTGGTCATTCAGTATATTCAGGTAGTCAGCTGACCTTGTGTTGCTGAATCTAGACCTGACCAACTGCAGCAACCCCAGATCATAATACTGCCCCCACAGACTTGTACAGTAGGCACTAGGCATGATGGGTGCATCACTTCATCTGCCTCTCTTCTTACCCTGATGCACCATCACTCTGGAACAGGGTCCACCTGGACTCATCAGACCAGTTTTTAATAATGTGTCATGTCCCTTAGCTCAAAATAAATGTCCCTTTTTTCTGCCTTAATCTATGATAATCTAACGTCTTTCTGCTCCAATTTAAATCCAACTTAACTGTCTAGTTGTTACTAACCGCTATCCTGCTTCTAACCTTCTTAACCTTTCTTTCCACCCTTTCCCTCTTTTCCCCTTGCTGTCACCACCTGGGGCTGCTTCCCTCCAACTTTTGCTTTGCTCTGTCCCCCTGTCCGTTGTGTCCCATTGTCCTGAACAGTATCTTCTCCTGCAGAGCCCCCTGATGTTCACAGAGCAGATGCAGCAAGACGTTATCATGGTGCTGAAGTTCCCGTCCAACTCTCCCGTGACACACGTAGCGGCCAACACCCAGCCAGGCCTGACATCGCCCGCCATCATCACCGTCACCGCCAGCCGCCTCTTTGCTGTCAACAAGTGGCTCGGCCTGGCAGGTGAGAGATTTACCTCTGAAACTTGAACAGGCTTTAGGTTTGTGTCGTCTGCTGATCCATCCTTAGTCAGTAACACTCCTGTGTGTAGCACACGGATTGACCCGTTTCATCCTTTAAATGGACGTTGATTAGAGAGACGGTTGACTGTGTGTTCCAGACAGCAGGATTAGATGTGACACATGCAGCAGCCAGAGTTGGGTCTCACGTCCACCTTCATACTGCAGCCAGTCATTTATCAGAGCCTCTTTTTATGAAACCTTCATCCTGTCTGAGGTGAAAAATTTGTATTTTGTATTTTGGATGAGATCAAACTGAGCAGTAGAATAAAACCATGAGTTTACTGAACAGGAAACCCAGTGGAGTAAGCAAGTATTCACACACACTCCTAATAATAACCTGTAGCATGTATTTTTGGACGTATAAATAGCTTTAATCTTTATCCTTTTGCATTCTGACATAGTTGATGTATAATTCACAGGAGAACTTAGACCGGTAGGTCACTGTCACATGATGGTTTTAGTTTGCAGTGTGTTAAAATGACCTCAAAGGCAGCATAATCTTCACACAAGCACTCCGCTCCAATATTAACCCGATCTGTCTTCTTCTCTGTCAGGTCATCCGAGCTCGGCGGAGCAGCAGTACCAGCTTCCTGTGGAAATCGACCCTCTGATAGGTATGCTGTCATTTCTGACTATTAAAGAATCCACACACACTCAAGTGTGAGGCATATGCACGAAGGGGTTTTGGTGTGTGCTTGTGTGTGTACGTGCGTGCACGTGTGTGTGAGAGAGAGAATCCTGCTGCACGGCGGTGACTCATGGCGCTCTGCAGAGCCGTGTCCCTGGACAGTAGATTAGAGTTGTTTCTCAGCCTCTGCCCCAGTTCACTCGTCATGATGAAGGCCCTGCTCTCTCACTAAAGCATTTGCATGCAAATTGGAATGCAATGAGCTGTGGCCTAGACCAGCATTTCATCATCAACCCCCCCATCCCCCCCCCCACGGTCCCTTTCCTCCCTCCCTCTCTGCATCTTCTCTGGTTTAATTTGAGCAGAGGGAAAGGACGAGTGTCAGTGGGAATGAATATGAATGTGGTAATAATGTGTGATTGAGAATGCACGGCGGACGGCTGTCAGGACAATATGGGCGCCTCTCATCCTTCACGACTTGTTGATGAGCAGGAGAAGAGTGCCGAGCCGCGGTGATGTATGGGATGCGCCGGCGGAGCAGCGAGGAGAGTCTGCTGTCGTGCACGTGTGCAGAAGGGGGGCTGTTCTTTCTCTCTGAGCGTTGTGGTCACTCCCAGACCATCTCATGCCTGTTCCCCTCCACGTTCTTGACTAGTGACGGTAACCAGAGTTAGTTCTCGGTTATTCATCTTTATCTCCACGTAGGATTCTTTAATTCTCTGCTGTAATGGCCCTTCATGCAGTCAGAATGAAGTAAATTCTGCCGTCATTATTTACACATTCAGGGAATATTTTGAAGAGCATTTCAGCATGTGATGTATTCGCTATTTTTCCTGAAAGCCCACCTTAGAGAGTTATTTTCATCCTTTCATACGTCTATTATTCATTCACGTAGAATTTGACACCGGCCATCATCGCGTGCTGGTTTCTCTCTAAAGCTTAACGGCCAGAGCGCTTCTTTGTGTGAGTGCGTGCACGTTTTGGGGAGGTAGCTGGGAGTTTTGTTCTTGTCAGTAATACATTTACACTGTTTGCATTCCTCCAGGAGTCTGAGCTAAACACAGTAAATCGAGGATGAGCGTTGAGCCGTCTGCGGCTCTGGGGAATGTTAGAAATTGGGTGAAATATTAGTTGGAGGTGATATTCAAAACAGTCTCAGTTTCACCTGCTTTTCTTTGTGCGTTTGACCCCATGAAGCTGGAACAAAAAGGGAAAAGTGTCTCTTTAGCAGACAACAAAAGTAAAGACCAGCAGCTCCATAAATTAGCTTTCTAATGAACGACGCACGCGACCACGATGGATTCTTATGTGGCCTCTAACCGGAGTGGGGACGTGTTTTCTGAGGACTCTGCACACGCTGACATTACTCAGGCTCTTGAACTTTCGTGGAAAATGTGTCGTCCCTATAAACTTAATCTCCAGAATGTTTTATGTAGAAGCTCACAAATCATCTTTGCGCCGAGGCTTCAGCAGAGGAGCATCAAAGGGAGCTCTGTGCCGTTGACTCGCTGCAGCAGCTACTTCCGCCGTGTGTGTCGGAGCACCGTGCAGCACGAACGTCTGAACCTCTAACACGTGAGCTCTTGTTTACTTGGTGTCTTTCAGCCAGTAATGTGGGCACTCATCGCCGTCAGATCCCAGACCTGCTGGATCAGAGCATTCAGATCAGCTCCCAGTGTTTTGTCATCGCAGCCAACAACCGCTTCATCCTGCTGTGTGGCTTCTGGGACAAGAGCTTCCGGGTCTACTCCACGGACACAGGTGAGTTGTGAAAGCTCGAGTGATTCTTTTAACACAAATCCATGAATAAACCTTCAGATGTGGAAGATCTTGTTTTAGATTTTATGCGGCTACACGCTGTCACGGATCACAGCTTTCTACATTAAAGCAGCTTCTCATTCCTGTTTGTGTTTAAATAAAGACTTTGCTCTGCTGGTAAATTAATGGGAAACTAAATGAATTCAATCACATTTTAAACCCTGTTTTAATCCAGGATCCTGAAAAATTCTTAAGTTAGATTTTCCGTAATTAAAGCCTTAAAGTCCTTTAAAATTACACAAGATCAATTCAAAAGAACTTGCTAAAGAAGTTAGCAAATTTCAAAATAGTTCTGAGTTTTCTAATATGAGAAACCACCAACATGTGTGTGTGTGTGTGTGTGCGTGTGTGTGTGTGTGTGTGTGTGTGTGTGCGTGTGCGCGCGCGCGTGTGTGTGTGTGTGTGTGTGTGTGTGTGTGCGCGCGCACGCACATGCGCGTGCGGGTATGCGCGTTAGCCACATTAGCTAGTGGGGAGCGTGATCCACAGGGAAGTGCGGATACTGAGGTACTTTGGTCAGAGCAATGACAGATTGCTACAATTTAAGGGGAAGAAGTTAATTTTTTAAATTTGTAAATCTTTAAATAAATCTTCTACCTTCTGTCCTCATCAAGAAAAAAAACAATTAAAAAAATAAGTATTTTTATTCCTTTGAGGTAGTATGTGGTATAGTGTAAAACAATAATGTAATAAATAAATGAAAGACAAGTTTTTCAAGTATTAATAAAATAAAAAATAATAGGATAAAAAAATTTCATTAATAATATTATCATACCCGTATTTTAAATAAATGTATTTACTTAGTTTTCCCCCGGAGGATCAGTGTACGCTTCAGTGGGATTGAACCATGAATGGGTTTAAGCCTCTCTACACCCCTACAAACACCTAAAGATCTCTGCAACAGACTGTTATAATGTATTCTGCTGCTTTATTTGTTATTATTACTAAATAGAGCCGACTCTTGTTTTTATTTGTGCTTCCTGCTCACAGCTGCCGTACTTCCATCTACCGGTGGGATTAGGCCACACGCTACAGAAGCACTGAACTCTTCAGGTGCATTTTGTGGTTACTGGTTACACGCATGGCTTTAGCTAGGAGGGGTTAGCAGTCCAGTTTAGTGTTTCCAGCATAACCCGTCCTCATGAGGCGTTACTGAGCTGAAAAACACTGTCAAAGGGTCCGTGTGTGTTAGACATGGGCCGGTGTGTGTGGCTTTAAGAGGAAAGTGTTGCATTCTCTACACCTGATATGTGCCTGACATGTATTCAGTTCAGACCTTTACACACACACACACACACACACACACACACACGCACGGACGGACGCACGCACGCACACACACACACACACGCACGCACACACACACACACGCACATGCACACACACACACACACACACTCGCACACACACACACACACACACGCACGCACGCACGCACACGCACGCACACACACACTCGCACACATGCACACACACACACTCGCACACACACTCACGCACACACACACGCGCGCACGCACGCATACACACGCACGCACACGCACGCACGCACACGCACATGCACACACACACTCACGCACACACGCGCGCGCGCACGCACGCACGCACACACGCACGCACACACACACGCATATGCACACACTCGCACACACACACACGCGCGCACGCACGCACGCACACGCACGCACGCACACACACACACGCACATGCACACACACACACTCGCACACACACTCACGCACACACACGCGCGCACGCACACGCACGCACACACACTCGCACACACACTCACGCACACACACGCGCGCACGCACGCACACACACACACTCGCACACACACACACTCACGCATACACACACGCGCACACACTCGAACACACACACACTCACGCATACACACACACACACACACACAGAAAATGCTATCAGGTCAGAGGTCCTAAATGAAACTGTCTGAAGCTTCATCTCCGTACCCCCCCCATGCTACATGCATCTATACAGCAGAGTCCGATTCAATTTCTCTGCGGGCCAGGCCCTCCCTGTCTCTTCTGGAGGAGGGAGGGCAGTGCAGAGATGGCTCTATTGTGCGACTGCCACAAGGGTGTGCACCTGGAACGGTTTAATCGCTCGCGCTCAACAGCTGCCGCCAGGGTCCCCAGCTCCCCCAGGTAAAGAACGGACGGATTTTATCAATTACAGGGCTTGATTTGGTGCAAAAGCTCAAAGCACAGCCAGCACGCACGTGGATCCAGGTCAGCGTGCACGCATATGTGCAAGTTAGAATTTGTGTTAAATCTCTGATGCATGGTAGCTATTATTGTAGCAGCCATCATTACTTACACTCATCGTTTAAAGAAACGTCAAACATTTCACGTCTTTGATGTCTGTGTTCGGCTTTCATAACGATCCCCGTCGTTTTAGCCAGAGACGTTATCTGGTGAGCGACCACGCGGACGCCCAGACACAAATGTCACATGCAGCAGGCTATCCACTGTTTGACTGCAGAGGTCACACTTTGAGGGGCGTAATGAATATTACACAGCTCGACGGTGGAGCTGCGGTCTTGAAATCTGACAGCAATTAGACTCTTTAGATACACACACCCGGCACACGCTTGGGCGCTCACACAAAGCTGGAGAAAACATTTGTTCTTGTCGTGGGATTAACAGAATTCTGAAGGAGTGTGGATCAACTAACCGAGCTGCACCTAGAACTCGTCTCTCCTCTGTTGTTAAAATGTGTTCCTACTTCTTTAAGCCCATCACACCATTTTCTGCTGAAGCTCAAGTTCTTGTGTGCTGTTTGCAGGCAAACTGACTCAGATAGTGTTCGGGCATCGGGATGTGGTGACGTGTCTGGCTCGCTCGGAGTCCTACATCGGAGGAGACTGCTACATCCTGTCGGGCTCCAGAGATGCCACCCTGCTGCTGTGGTACTGGAACGGAAAGCACAGCTGCATCGGAGAGAGCTCAGGCAGTGAGTACAAAGCCGTGCGGCTACACACACACGCGCAGGAGTATTGTCTGAGTGCTCACCCTCCCAGACAGTCGTGACTGTGTGATTTACGGCCTCCCTCTCTAAAGTAACAACTAGTTTCGTCTGACCAGGCCAGGCCCCCCCCCCCATACAGATTGGATTTCGCAGCTCCGTCGCTCCAGGAACAGCTTTCGATGATGCGTGTGTGTGTGCGTGCGTGTGTGTGTGTTTCTGCAAAGCCAGATACTGTGTGTCCACGTCTCAAGTGTGTGTGAGAATCTGTCTTTAATGCGAGTGAAAGTGAGGGCCACTTAGAGACGTTAAATGTAATGTTGGGGATGGAGGGAGGGGTCGTGGGCCGGCACATGAAAGTTCACCACGATCCAAAGGCCAGGAGGTCACTCTAGTCAATAAAAGTGAAAAATGTCACGGGCCTCCCCGTGTTACCATAACATATGGCATTAGCTATGATCAAAGCATGGCTAACACGTCGCTCAGGCCTCGGCCTCCTCAGCACTAATTTGGCCGGCTCAGATCGGCCTGCGTGCCGTTAAGTGATCCGTCACAAATGGGATGAAATTTATGACAAATTGAGATTTGTTTAATGAGCCACTTTTCCATATGAAGAATAGCTAAGGCACTGATGTGCAAATGTGACATTGTAGGAAAATTAGGTTTTAATTTTTAGTGCTTTATTTATTTTTACTTTAATTAAATAATGATGAATCGGAGCTAAAATAGAATAAAAATCAACTTATCTGCACTATAAGAACATAAACTGAGATTTCCTTTATTAAAAAGGGAAATATTACAAGCAAATAATCATTTTACCAGGATTTTTCACACAGAAGTTTTGGATCCACGTTTACACGCCTGATACCAACAAAAGTTTGAAGTTGTGTGTGTTGGTTTATGAGCTAGCTTAAGGCTAGTTACCATGGTGAACCTGAAGGATCGGACATCGCCCCAGACATGAAGCTCTGGTGCAGGCGCACTTACACTCACACACACATGCACTTACACTCACACACACATGCACTTACACTCACACACACATGCACTTACACTCACACACACATGCACTTACACTCACACACACATGCACTTACACTCACACACACATGCACTTACACTCACACACACATGCACTTACACTCACACACACATGCACTTACACTCACACACACGTCTTTCTTTATTCTGCATCCAAACAATGAAGTTCTGGAAAAGCTAAAATCGGCACACACACACACTCACACACACTGATGCCGAGTACGCACACATGACACAAATTCCTCCTTTACTCATAATGATCTGTGGACATCTTTACACACGTCATTATCTTGACGCAGGCCCATCCGAAGGGCTGATATGACATGAACACACTGACCTTTGCTCCTTTGGTTCAGGCTTTAAGCAAGTTGGATTTCAGATGTCCTACTGCCCTCTGCTGGTAGGAATAAGATGTTTGCGTATTTCAGCGTTGGCTTCATTTATTCAAAAGCAACATCTTGCCTGAAGAAATGGCAGAACAGGAACTTCTTGGATGATGTTTGCTTTAATATGTGACATCAGAGATGATCGGTACTGGTTTTTACATTTTTATGACACAACCTCTTTGTACCACGAACGCGTTTTCCTCCAAACTCTGCAGCTTTTTCTGTTCTCATTCAAAATGTGAAAACTTGACAGATCAGAGGTTCAGTTTTTGTCTGTTTGGTACAACGGGCCTAACCGTAGTCACAGAGAATGTCCCAAGTTTAAGTATGATAGGAAGTGTGTGTGTGTGTGTGTGTGTGTGTGTGTGTGTGTGTGTGTGTGTGTGTGTGTGTGTGTGTTATCTGTAGTGGAGATTAAGAGTTCACCCATTTCCAGTGATGGACAAGCTCTGGCCCAAACGGAGGCACGGCAGCATTCTAGTCTGGGCTGGTATCAAATTCCCAGCCTGGTTTATTGTCCCAGTCTGCCCTGACTGTGGTGGATACTGGTAAAAGGCTGGAATGCTTATTTCTGAACAATGCAGCATCAATTAAATTCAGTTTAATTCTGGAGTAAGCATGATGGTTAAAGCATCAACCCAGTCATGGTGCTGATGAAAACACCAGTTCATGCTTAATCAGACATTTCCCATTGTTCCCACGGGAACACCGGAGTGTTGTGCAGTAAAGGACATGGATGGTGTTTCTCAGCCGTGTGTTTGTTCACTTTAAAGAGCGTTTGAGTAATGATACGAGCAGCCTGTCCCAAAATCTGAGGCTTATATTGTTTTTATCAGCTGAGTTAGCTTAGCAGCTAAATCATCTGGACATCATCTGTAGTCACGGCAGTGTGGAGGAATACGTTTGGGCCTGTTAATGCTTTGTAGAGTAAATGAATGGGTACCGCGTTACGATAAGGGTCCCTTTATTAACATGACTTAGTGCATTATTAAGCATTAATAAATGTTTCTGATATTAACTATGAAGTTTCCTTATGGTTAGGACAAAGGGCCGGGGCTTAGTAATGCATTACTTAATATTAACATGTATATTTATTTATGCTTAATAATGCACTAATTAATGTTAATAAATGGACCCTTGTTGTAGTGTTACCCATGTATGTAATATACATTTAAAGAGTTTTCTTTCTTTCTTTTTTTGTTCAAGTCTGTTGAGTAATTTATTTTGAACAAACTAATATATTATTATACTAAACTAGTCTTAAATATTATTTAACTGAATAGATAACCGCAGGGAAAACTGGAAAAATGAGAATATGGTGCAAAAGTCCATTTATGTCAGTAATCTAACTTAGACTGAGAGACCATCCAAAGGCACAGGAAGCCTTTGCAGGTGTTTAGGGTTTATTAGCTGATTAAATAATAGTCTGAGATTTTGAAGGTAGGGTTTTCATACGGTGTGAGCCAATTAAGGCTCGAAATGTCTGTCTATCATGTATTAGTTTAACCTTTAGGCTGAATTATTGATCTAAATAAACTTTTGCACTGTATTCTAGTCTTTCCCGTCTCTTCTGTCGTATAAGTAGGAACACACACTCTCTCCAGGCTTGTTTCCATCAGATCTGATGACTTACAGCTGGTTGTGCAGCGTGACCCCAAACAGTTCAGATATATTTAAAACCCGCTCGTCTTTCTGAAGTTTTATGATGTACTTGATCTTACCTGTGTAAAATGAAGCTTAGCTCACAAAGAAGGATTAATGTCCTCACACTGTGTGTAATATATATGTACACACACACACACACACACACACACACACACACACACACACACACACACACACACACACACACACACACACACACACACACACACACACACACACACAGCTCCCAACTCTGGTCACATCCAGGTATAAGATCGTGATCAGACGTGGCCTCTAATTTAATCCAAACAGCAGGTCGAGGCTCCGAACTGCTGCAGTTTATTCATCTTATCATCTTTATAGATCTTCACTGAGTCCGGACCAGCCTCCTCCTCCTCCTCCTCCTCCCACTCATGTGTTTGCCTTTAGTGAGGACCAGGCTGTTGACTAGCTGAAATGTGGATGTTTGGGTTGCTGCTCGGGTGGGAACGGGAGCGTTTGGGTGGCGGTGAAGTGAGCAGCTTGATGCACGGAGTCAAAACTATCAGCTGCCTTTAAATATTATGAGATCAGTAACTGGTGACAAATTTTCTGCTGATTTTTTATCAGTTTGAAAACAAATAAGCTGTTTTTTGTATCACACACACACACACACACACACACACACACACAGGGTCCTCTCCTGGGCTGATGTTCTCTAAGGTATGGGGTCCTCTGCACTGTACATGTGGGTCTCAGTGATTTAAAGTATTGCTTGTATGCAGCTTGCCCTCGTGTTTCGAGGCCACTGAGCACGTTGGTCTTTCAGCTAAATCTAACGACGCTGCAACAGCAGCTGTGGCTTTTTGGGAGAAAGGAGGGGTCTCATCAGGAAACCTGTTAACAGTTTTTATGATTTCATTCAATAAAGGAGATGCGTTAAGTCATAAAAATACTGAAATACTTTGTACTGGGATTTTTTTCAGGAAAAATGTTTCAAGACAAATGGGTTAAAGTGGTATCTTTATTAAAACCCTCTGATAACATTAAAGGTATTTATGTGATTTCAACTCTTGCTCTAGCCACGGTGTGTTTTTAACTAGTTGACGGGATTTTATTGTCCTCCCTCTAGTGGCCATAAAGCTACATGACATACAGTAAAAACCTCTACCTGTTGTCTCCATCAGCGTTTGTCACGCCACGGGCCATCCTGACAGGTCATGACTGTGAGGTGACGTGTGTGAGTGTGTGTGCGGAGCTGGGACTCGTCATCAGCGGCTGCAACGGTGAGATGGTTCATGAATTTGTTTAATCAATATACAGTAATCAGATTACAGACCAAGAAGCCAAGTAATAAATGCTGAACCAGTGGCTTTCATACAAACCATTAAGTATGCTTGCTGAGAGACTGGTGTGGCCCTGAGGCCAGTTCAACACACCGGAGAGCCGTGTTCTTTAAAATATGAATGATTCAGCATTGTGTTGCTTAATGACTGGAAATGCATATTTATCTGGTTTGCTGTAAAGGTTTCTTCACATTTGTTTATTGTTGCACAAAAGTGTTTTCTGAACCCCAAGCTAAAGACCAAGTTCACTCGGTAACCATTTAAAAAATACGACCAGACAGTTACTCTGAGTTTAGCGTGCGGGCTCAACATGGGAAAGGGCTTCTACTTCTATTTCCTGCGTCCGCCGCTGATGCGGATCAGAAAAGCCTGACGGATCGATGTCACACTGACAATTAGCATTCATGGACTAGCGACGGGAAGGCTGTTGTTGGTTTAGCATCCAGGAGAGAGCAGAGCACATTTCGACAAGTAGAAGCTAATCGTTAGCATTAGCAACTCCTCAACACAGCAGAACTCCATCAGGCATATTTGTGGAGATAAAACATCAACGCTGCAGGTTCAGTGGTGGAGTCGCGTTGCTGTTGGCTAATCAAAGATGAGATGTCCAAATATCAGGAAATAATTCTCCAAATCCTGCTGTCTGAAGCTAATCTCTGCTCTGGCTAACTTCTACGTCCTGAACATGACATTAATTTATACTAGAGACCACTGCAGATGTATTAAATCCAGTGAACTTGGTCTTTAACTTGTGATGAGAAACCACACACACACATTCCTTCTTTAGTCTGAATGCTGTACTGAGAGAAATAACTCAAAACGTATTTGTTGTGACTTCAAATAAATGACAAAATATTAAAACATTTAAAATTAACTTTTGAACTACAGCACTCTGTATTTATCCACCATTTTCTATGATAACGAGGCATGAGGTTTAAAGGAGCACTAATATTTCCGTCTGAGCTGTTTCCTGTAGGATCTGTAGCCCAGAGGGATAACAGTGTTTCTGGATCCTAAAGAATGCTGGCTGCATCCATTACATGTGTTGCCTTTAAGCTTCTCTTAGGTACCTCTGTTTGGGAAAAGGCCCAGCAGTTTGCTAGCAAATAAGTTAAATACCTGTTAGAAACGACGTTTCTCCCCCTACTTGACACAGATCCAGACCATAAATCATTGTTTTATGTTAAACCTGCTTGCATCCTCCTGTCTGCATACAGAGGGTCCATGTCTGATCCATTCTATGAATGGGGACCTGCTCCGGACCCTGGAGGGCCCCGAGATGTGCCAGAGGCCCCGACTCATCCAGTGCTCCTCAGAGGGTCACTGCATCATTTATTATGACAAGGGACACTTCTGTCTCTTCTCTGTCAATGGCAAGCTGCTTGGACACATGGAGGTGGAGGACAGCACGAAGGTAAGGAAATGCTCGTTACTGCACGGGTAGACATGAGAAACACGCTCCTGCATCTGTATGTCTGCACCACATCTGGGCACAAAACCTTCCACTGATTAAAGGCTCGGGTTGAGATGTGAGTGAGGTGAGGGTCAGCGTGCCTCGGGACAAACACGGGCTTGACAGCTCTCTCCCCGTTCACACACACACACACACACACACACACACACACACACACACACACACACACACACACACACACACACACACACACACACACACACACACACACACACACACACACACACACACACACACACACACACACACACACACACACACACACACACACACACACACACACACACACACACACACACACACACACACACACACACACACACACACACACACACACACACACACACACACACACACACACACACACACACACACACACACACACACACACACACACACACACACACACACACACACACACACACACACACACACACACACACACACACACACACACACACACACACACACACACACACACACACACACACACACACACACACACACACACACACACACACACACACACACACACACACACACACACACACACACACACACACACACACACACACACACACACACACACACACACACACACACACACACACACACACACACACACACACACACACACACACACACACACACACACACACACACACACACACACACACACACACACACACACACACACACACACACACACACACACACACACACACACACACACACACACACACACACACACACACACACACACACACACACACACACACACACACACACACACACACACACACACACACACACACACACACACACACACACACACACACACACACACACACACACACACACACACACACACACACACACACACACACACACACACACACACACACACACACACACACACACACACACACACACACACACACACACACACACACACACACACACACACACACACACACACACACACACACACACACACACACACACACACACACACCAGAGGAAGTTGTTCTTTTGAGCCGGAGCTCCATTGTCAGGTCGAATTGCCCCAGTGGTGGAAACATTCCAGAGGAGTGGTCAGTCTGGGACACCAACACCATTAACTAGCCTCCAGCGCGGGACGACACATTCCCCAATGCCCACATTTCCTCTCTGGTGGCTAGAGTGACACGGGATAGCAGCTACCGCCTTTGGTTTCCCGGCCCTCGGTTTCCGGTTTGGCCTGGGAAATGTAAGCCAGCTCTGACAGACAGCTGCACGCCTGTTTCCTATTAAGAAGCCTCCTGTGCCCGGGCTGCAAACCTGCCAACCAGCGCACCCCTACAAAGCCACAAATAAACTGAAACACTGATTGAGCACATTAGCTGCGCTGCAGCAGTAACGAGTGTTTAGTTTCCATATTTCAGTCTCCTTTAGTGTGTCTTTAAAAGACAATAACAACAGATTAGCTTTGAATTGTTCCCACAGTTGTCTCTGCAGATGAATCTTGGTAACAGTGCAGGCTGTAGCCATATTTCTCAGCCATGCTGGATTCCCTCCATGTCAGATGGCATTAGGAACATCTAAACATCTCAAAGTGAGGCTGTGGGAGTCCCGTCCCGCTCCGCTCCGCCCTCCTGACCCAGCAGTATTTAGTGCACTCATGTACATACCAGAATCAATCTTCTCCTCCCTTTGAACCTCAGCACAGCGTGACTCCAGGATAAATAAGTGTTTGTCCTGGCCTGCAGAGCACGCATGGACACAGAGAGTAAGATTGTACGAACTGGCTTTATATGGGTCTGCGAGGTTGGATGACAGGCTAACAGTCGGCATCTCCAGCTAACGGCAGAATTGGATGAGGGAGGCCATGCTGAATAGATTATTCTTTTAAGTTGTATTGTAAGTCAAGCAGGATAACCATCCCAGCCATTTACTTCCCCGCCTCTGTCAGTGTAAGGGGGGGAAGCATCATAAATTAAACCATTTACTGTCTCCAGGCCCAGAATCCACCCACTGTTCTCTGAAAGAAGCACAAAATATGGGCATATATGCTGCACATGCTTCTGCTAGAGTCATTTTTAGTCATCTGAGCCACAGCCGCCATCTTGGCCCTTACAGAGCCATCAGCCATCTTGTTTAACCACCTGGTGGCAAACGTCTGATTTATAATGTCTGTTTGCAGCCTCCTACCTGGTGAGGCTGACATGTCTGCCAGCTCTGCTGCCTCCTGCTGTGCTAGAGTAAGGTCATAAACTCCGTTAGTGGATGCACAAGTCCATTAAGGTGCCTAGCGACTGCTAAACAGTTACGCCGTTTTCACAGTGGGCTGTAAAATATGCTTGCTATTGCTAATGCAACGGACACAACTAAAGGTCTAACCCAAACCTTCAAAAGGATATTCTACAAATGAGTTGCAGAGGGAATTTTTCATTGTTTTCCTTTCAGAAGTAGAGGGCGGTAGAGGAATCGGTAACTTCAGTATTTGCTTAGGTTGGTCCATTGCAAACTTCCAGCTTCTTCCAGCATGGATTGACCGCTCGATCTTGTTGACGTGTCAGTACTCTAGGCTAAAAATATTTATTTTGCTACAGAGGCCAGGGAAGGATCTCAAGTATAAATAATAAAAATAACATACTTTATATTATAGAATCAGGTCAGATAGTTCAAACTAAGCATTTTCACTGCCTCCTTTAGCTTCCCCAAATGAGTGTAGGCCATAGCAGGTTTAGCTCTTAGTTTCACCTCCAAAGACGTACTGTCTGACTCCAGGCTCCACCATGATAAGCAAACCTGTTTTTTCTTCTTCTTGTGTTTTTTATTGATGGTCGGCAAACTGAAAAAGCTAACCGCTAGCCTTTAAATTAGCTACTGGTACAGAAAATAGCTAACAGCTGTTAGGCAGGTAAAGAGCACCCGCTAGGACACCTACCTGTTCCACAAAACTGTTAAGTGCTGGTTCTGGTCAGCAGAGGGTGCTTCTGAAAGAGGTGTCGCCTGGCGGACCGAGAGAGCGGCACGAAGGCAGTGGTAGAGCGCACCCCCTTAGTTTAGGTGTTACTTGCTCTTTAAGTTTCTACCAACTCAATCACTGAAGCAAACTTTTAAAGGTATTCATCAGTGTTGCTTTAACATTTTAAACTACATACCGCAGCGTTAAGGGTTTCATCAAAATCTGTCCAAACACAAAAAACACACGGATACGAGCAAAAACATTCCCTCTTTCTTCTTTGGCAGGTGATAATAAAACGTAGCAGTTTCCTGTAGGTATGCTCAGGTTTCCAAGCAGTAAAATGTAAGACTTACCAGGTGAATTCATGTTGTTAACTAATGTTTATCATGGAGATTCTCCTAAAGCTGTCCTCTGCCACAGCTGATGGTTTAATACAGCGATACTCAGTCTAGCCGTCTCCGTGAAAGTTGCTCAGTCGTTTAGTTTCATCCAACTCGATGCATTTGCCTAACGTAGGCTTTTTCTGTTGGGGGGCTTGTTTGTTTTCATACCAAATCAAGTTCCTGAAAATGACTCGTTCCAGCTTTAAATTTCCTTTTTCCATTAAATATGAGCCTAATTCAGCACACATGCCGCTGATTAAAGAAGTGCTGAATCACTGCAAAGCGGCCGCAGTTGAAAGACGAGCGACTTCGGTGTCGTTAAAACCACAAACGCCAAAAGCTTTCAGTGTCATTTGCTGCTTTAGAACTTGAGTTCAGCCTCGTCACTTCACCAGCTACGGTTACTTGCTGATTGATGCTACTGACTGTTTCAGTTTCTGCTTCCACTGTGAGCCACGCTCGTAATGGACTCCAGCGCAGGGCCTGATTTGTGTATATCTGATTCCTCGGGGAGCCGTTCGGCTGCTGCAGTTTGCAAGAAAAGCAGATGAGAAGAGTAAATCTCAGAGCTTCACTGTCGGGAGACATCTTTGATGAAAGCCTGTGTGTAGAGTGTGGGATTGTTTTTGTGGGATCACAACACCTTCAAGTGTGAACTTCACTTACATCACAGATAAACTTTCCCCACATTATCAGGGTCTGTTTATACATGTGGTTAAATGGCTTTTGAAGCATTGGGTCATTGTAAAAGCAACATATGTGAAGTCAGCCAAGTAGGTTATTAATGATGTGTCTTTATTTGCCTTTGGCAGGCGATGCTTCTGAGCAAAGATGGCCAGTATCTGCTGACTGGTGGAGATGGAGGTGTAGTTTCTGTCTGGGAGGTTCACAGCCTCAAGCAGCTGTTCATCTATCCAGGTTGTGATGCAGGGATCCGCTCCATGGCCATGTCACATGACCAAAGGTAACGCACACTCATAGAAATGACTGCAGTCTAGGGCTGCAACAAACGATTATTTGGATCATCGGTGAATCGGAATAAACAGGAAAATTTAAAAACTGCTAGAGAAATACGTTTTCTCTCCTTCCTTTACTTTAACTACAAAACATGATTAGCATGCAAAACAACATGCTAGCACCTAAATGTATCCATAAACTGATCAGTAAAATCTAATATTTTCATTCACACGTTCAGTAGTAAGCTACTGGAAATGCTAACATTCAGTTGCTACTGCTACGCTGGCTCCGTCCTCTCAGCTGCTGTCTCCATACAAAATCAGTCCTTTTAGGCCTTTGCTAAGGTGACTGCATATCACAACCGTGTCAGCTTTTTACAGCACTGTGTAGGACAACACAAAGCCCAGTGTACCACAGCGGTGTGGTGGAATTGTCTTTCAGGATTGGGAATTTAAACGGCAATTCTGAAGCCGTGTCAAAACTGCCGCTTTCCTTTTCCTTCCATTCTGCTTCACCAGCAACTCTTCCAGATGTACTAACGGGTTGTTTGACGATATAGTTTCCACCACCACCGAGTCCCGCCCAGTGACTCTACCGGGCCTTTCTTAGCGCACACCCCAGTTGAAATACTCTAAGGTATTCTTTCAAAACCTTCGACCAAGGTGGAGATTTGCAAATTCTCTGTTATCAGCATTTACTTGTGGACCTGAATAACCGAGGTTTTAGGTATCGCAACATCCCTGCCTGCAACAAAACCGCAACCTGAGGTTACACTCGGTTGTTGCAAGGCCAATTACTGCTCTATGTAGAAGATCACAGGTGAGGGACGATGATTGGCCGCCATTCCACGTCCAAGGAATGTTGGCAACTATTTGTGGAGTTAATGGCCGGGGGGGGGGGGGGGGTATTTTGTTTTACAAAAGCATGGCTATGTGTGTACTTTGCCTAAGTTAAAGAGCAAGTCACTCCCCTGCCAGAGTCTTACTACACCAGCATTTCCCGTTTGAAAAATGTGCCAACAGCAGACCCTGTCTGGTTACTATGTCAGCGCTGCCCCGCCCTCGGAGGTTTTACGTTGAGCTGCTAACTAACACACTTGGACAAACAAACGGCAGCAAGCTTCCTAGTCTGGAGGATTTCTCTCCACCTCCTTCACCAGAGGAAATTGAGGAAGGTTTTTTTAAGAGGAGGCAGCTGCCCTTAGCCGTATCATTTCAGAAGTGCAACCGAGACTCGGCTACCCTTGCAGCTACAGTGCAGCCGTCGTCATGTGTACCGGCTAATATCACATGTCAACACTTAGCAAATAGCATGACTGATTAAAATTAAAATGTAGTGCAGACTTTTGACCTAAAGAGGGCGCCACAATGACTGTTTTAGTCAAAGCATCTTTTTTAAATGGGATGCACTAAAATGCCAAATTGATGACTAAACATGTCTACAGCACTCTCATTTATACAGATTATAAGCAAAAAAATTCATTTAGCAGTGACTTGCTCTTTATACACATTATCTTTACAGATTAAGTCCTTATTAGTATAATTTCCTTTAATAATTGTACTCTCAGAAAATATTTTTGGAGTTTTCCTGTGGTGCCGTTTAATATAAAAATGAATTCAAATGAAAAACCCACCCTGGTGCTTTCTCCACCTCAGGTGCATCATAACTGGCATGGCGTCCGGGAGCATCGTTCTCTTCTACAACGACTTCAATAAGTGGCATCACGAGTACCAGACCAGATACTGAGTAAACGTGACCAGCTCAACACACCAACGCATCTCTTTATAGCCTCGTATCCTGAATGTATCTCCGAGAAAAATAATCTGTCCTGTTGTAGTAAAAGCAGCAACCTATTTTTAAAAGGGCATTGCTATATTTTGTAGCTCAGATAGAAATTTTTCCTATAAATCTTAAGGTGTGTGTGTGTATGTGTGTGGGGGGGGGGGGTTTATGCTACTGTTCAGTTGAAAAACAAATCTATTTTTAGCGTAAGAGTCTATTTTCATCTCCTCCGCAAGTGAAAGCGGAGTTTGTGGGAAGTTAGACGTATAAAATCCAAATTTTTGTGTACTTTAGGGTGTGTGATTTTCTTTCTGAGGTAGGTGTGTACGTGAGGAGGAAACGAAGCTATTAATCATTTTTTATTTTGTCATCGCAGCAGATAGGTTATGATTGAATACAAGCGTGACAGAAAGAGGGACTACACATTTATATAACTCTATTAAAATGTAATCCTCATGTTTAAGCGGTCTTCTCTCTACATGACTTGCTTTGAGATTTCTGTGCACGGCACATATTTAAAGAATTTGTTTATTTAACCATTTAAAATCAATCTGCTTTTGTTTAATATAAAGTTATTCCACCTTTTTTTCTCCTTGATGACTGAATAATGATTTGTTTAAACCAGGATTCAGACATTAACTGTCCAAGCCGGCCTCAAAGCCTTCAGGGTCTCACCTCCAAAGCCGAGAAGGACTCATTTCTGCTCGTTTTATTTTCCTTCATCGCAGCTGTCAATTATACTGAAGGGTGATCTAGCTTCAAAACCTAATATTAATTACGTTGGTCGCGTGTTTGGGTTCCTATTATATCCGTATCCATTCCTTTAATTTTTGTTGCTTCTTTGTGGTTTGAATCTCTGGAAGGGAACTTCTTTCATCTCTTACCTATTTTTTGCGATCATTTGAAGTGTTCTGTTTGCTGAGTTCTGACAATAAAAATGAATTTTATAACTTGAATTGACTTGAGTTTTTTGAGGCGTTCGTAAAATGGCACTGCTCTCTAGTGGTCAGTGACCTTTCACACTTTCGCCACCCAACAAATGTATTTTTTTGCATTTTCCTTAAATGTGACAAAGCGGCAGACACTAAAACAGTTGTTTATTGCTTAAGTATGGTAATTCAATCTACATCAATTTATAAAGATTGAAAAAAAATCTCTTAAAGTTAAAGATAACAAAGCACTTGCACTTTTAAAATACAAGGTTTGTTGAAGCTCCTCCAAAACCAAGAGACCATTGAATCGCTTTCTCCTGGAAGCCTGTTACTCCAATTAATGTTTTATCATGATTATATTGAAATTTCCATCAATCTATTTTCATCCACTTATCCGGAGTCAGGTCACCGAGGCAGCAGCCTAAGCAGAGAAGCCCAGACGGCAGCTCTTCCAGGGGAATCCCAGCTGAAAAACAGTCCCTCCAGCATGCCCTGGGTCTTCACGCGAGTCATCCTAGCCATGCCCGAGTCACCTCAACTGGCTCCTCGATGTGGAGGAGCAGCAGGTCTACTATGAGCCCCCCCCCCCAGATGACTGAGCTTCTCACCCAATCTCTAAGGGAGAGCCCAGCCACCCTGTGGAGAAAAGTTGTGTCCACGATCCCATTCTTTCAGTGATTACCCAAAGCTTGTGACCATGGTTGAGGGTACGAACGAACGTAGATTGTTCGATAAATCGAGAGCTTCATCGTCCGACTCCACTCTCTTCACCACGACAGACCCTCGATCATGAAAGATGCCTTAACTCCTCCATATCGAGCAGGACCTCATCCCTGACCAGGTGAAGGCCTTCTACCCTTTTCCGACTCAAGACCATGGTCTTGGATTTAGAGCTGATTCTCATCCCAGCTGCTCCACACTTGGCTGTGAACTGCTGCGGTAAAAGCTGGAGATCACGTCTGATGAAACCAACAGGACATAATCTGCAGAAAGCAGAGACTTGATCCTCAAGCCACCAAAACATATCCCCTCAACACCTTGGCTGCACCTGTCCATAAGTTATGAACAGAATCTGTGACAATGGGCAGCCGTTCCCTCTCACCGGGGAAGAGAGAAAGCTAACTATGTACAATTACAGCTTTTCCCTGAAGTACAACAGTTTGTGCTTTTTAGAGCTCTTTAAGGTTAACTTTACTTCCCCAAAATAGAGGACTGTAAAATTATGACACGGCCACCCTTTGACGGGGTGTTGAGAAGCTAAAAAAAAATCTCACTCATACAGAAGTCAGTAATTTATGTAATAAAACGTTTTATTGGAATTTTGCATGATTCACTCAATTATGATTTTCTTTGTTTCTTCCATTGTTATTTTGTTGTTGTAAACTTACTAAATTGCCACCAGAGGGCGGTGTGTGTACTGCAGACAGTAAATGTATAAAACAAAAAAAGCGGATTGTTGCAAGTTTTGTTTTAAATTAGTCTTCCAGTCACACTCGCTGTAAGTCAGTAATGTTTTAAAATCCAACATTTGTAATTGTTGAGAGCCAAAGTGGACTTATTTACAAGAGAAACTTTTTAACCCAAAATGAAAAAAAAAATCCACGAAATCCTCACGAGGGCGACATTTACGCAGCAGATTTTAGTAAATGTGTTCAGTTTAAAATAAGCTCCTTTTAAAAATTAAATACTTTGTTATAAGTGTTGTATCATGGTTTCAATATTTCTTTGGTTAAAAGACAAAATAAACATTTCTGTTGGACGCACTTTGAGATAGAACGAGTCAGCCAAACCTCTCCATGCACCACGTGATGCAGAAACCCGGAACTAAACAGACTAGAATCTACAGGAACTTGTTGAACGTGAGCTCGTCTTAAGGTTTTCATCCGTCCTTTAAGCTCGTGAACACGTCTAAGTAAGCGGTATAATGCTGGCTCTGCTTCACGTGTCAGTACCTTTCCTGTTCTGTGTACTTTTGGCGAACACGAGCCTGTTCAGCCACGTACAGGTGGACCTGACCTACGATCATTACGCAGAGCAGAGAGCCGACTACTTGCCTGCTTTTTTGGCGATGCCATTCAACTGTCTGGTGAACGTGGGTTACTTCTTCCTGGGACTGTACTGGCTGTTTTGGTGCAGAAGCGTCCGGGAAACGGAACGCGGCCGCTACCTGCGGCAGGTGTTTGCCCTCATGGCTGTTCTATATTCACCTGTACAGTGGACGCGCCTGGCGACGCTGCGGCGCGCCCCCGCCGTCCTCGACCAGTGGTTCACCTTGCCGATCTTCGCCTGGGTTCCGGTGTGGATCGACTTCATTGAGCGCGGGCCCTTCAAGTGGCACGCAACGCACGCGGTTGTGCTCGAGCTGTGCTCCATCCTAAGCTACGGCCTCGCGCTGGCGCACGAGCGCGGCTTCGAGGTCGCGTTGGGTTTCTACGTTGCTCTAGCGCTGTACAAAGGAGGGCGCGTGCAGCTCACGCACGGGAATGGTCACACAGCGGGGTATCTGCTGCTGGCCACGCTGTCCTGTACCGGCTTCGTGGTGCTGAAGCTGCTGGACCACTGGCTGGCTCGGTTCTGGCTGGTCTAAAGTGTGCGATGTGCTGCAGTTCCACTTCAGCTTCTGTTTCCTCACCATTATGACTGAGAAGGCTCAGGGGAAGGCTGCAGCTCAGCAGGAGTGAAATGTAATCACCTCTAAGACAGAGCCTTGGGGCACTAATCTAGACGGACACATCTGCCCCGTTGCTACACCTCTGGCTTTCAAAGGACGCCCAGGTCTTAGTCAACAGGTCTGCAAGACAGAACTTAAAAACCAGGAGGGGTGTTTGTAAAAATAAGAGTTTCCATTGATCTTAAAGTAAGTAAATATTACTTTATTATTAAACTAAAATAATTACATATTGTAAATGTTCTATTTAACATTTAAATTGAGTTTGTTTTAGATGGAAAACCAATCAAGTCCCAAAAACCTGCTTGGAACATTTATGCAGCTTAATAATGCAATGATGTAGTTATTAAATATGTGACTGGTGCCTCTACATAAACAAATTAAACATCTTCTCGTGGACCTGTGATAGCTTTGCTCAGAGAAACTAGACCGGCTCTATCCTTCCAGATCTACGCTGCTGCTTTGGTCTGAGGCTGAGTAAGAACCACCTTCAGCCTCTCACTGCACCGAGGATAAAATAGTTTCACTGCACAATTTAACGTCTGTAGTTATGAAATGTCTGACTGAACATGGATTTCTGGTCTGTGGAGGTCATTGTGAGGTGTCACATCACTAATTCTCCTGCAGGACTCATGGACGTAGCTCCTACGTCACCTTAAACCTGACGGTCCTCACAGCACAAATCCACACATGGTCTCAGTCTTTGTGTTCTCCCAAACAGAAGGTATGGAGGACCGGTCTGGCATTCATGAGTTTTCTTCTCTCTGCAAATGTAGGACAGAAAAAAACTAATGTTGTTTTTTTTACTTTAGTTTTAAACATAATCAAACATGATCAGTGTTAATCATCTTACTTACAGCTGAGTGTTAGCTAAACATTTTCTTTAGTCTGGAGAAGAAGCCGCCCTCCTCCTCCTTCTTCTCCTCTGTTGTTGTGGACTTTGTTCCTGATTCTGAAGCACTGCTGCCCCCTGCTGGACAAATGATGTATTTTAATGAGGAAAATACAGAGAAGCAATGGCGCTAGAATATCACCAAGTGTCACGCTCCAATCAGCTCAGCTAATGACCTGCTAAGGGCTCATGAGCCTTTAAGCGCCTCGTGATTTTTATCTTGAGGCGCTATAAGATTTTCTTAAGAGGGTCTCTCAATCTAAGCTGGATTACTGACAGACTTTTGCTCCAGTTTTCTCATTTTTCCAGCTTCACTCTTAATTGTTTGGAGGCGAGAGCTGTGAGAAGTATCATCTCAACTACCTTAATAAATGGTTGTTGAGACCACCGTGTCATTCTGTCTGGCTCTGCACAAACGTTACAACATTAGGATTTTATTTAAAGGTGGAATATGGAACATTAAAAACAATACCTCCACAGGTGTGCAGAATGAATACAGTTTCTCCTATAAAAGCTATTTAAAGAGCAACTTGCAGGTTAATTTTAATTTTATATAAACTTATGTCCAAAAACATACATACAACAGACTGGACTGGAGAAAGAACAGCGAAGCCGTTTACAAGAAGGGACACAGCATACTGCACTTCTTGAGGACGCTTAGGTCCTTCAGCGTCTGTAGCAAGATGCTGCAGATCTTCTACAAGTCTGTTGTTGAGAGTGTAATCTCTTCAGCCATCGTCTGTTGGGGTAGCAGCATCAGAAGCAGGGACCTGAAAAGGCTCAACAGCCTAATAAAAAAGGCTGGTTCTGTTCTGGGGACGACTATGGAACCACTGGAGGAGATAATGCAAAGAAGGATTCTCCAGAGAATCAAGAAAATGATGGACAACCCTGAGCATTCTCTTCACAAGACTGTCCGACAACGGAAGAGTGTCTTCAGTCAGAGGCTTCTTCAGTTTGGCTGCAACACTGACCGCTACTGGAGATCCTTCCTGCCAACAGCCGTTGTAATATACAACAACTCTTTGATGACTTGATTATTATTATTATTCTGAACTACTACAGCAATCAGTTTCCCTCTGGGATTAATAAAGTATTTCTGAATTGAATTGAAAACAAAAAGTTTCTTTTGCAATTTTAGAGAAGCACGTCAGTCAGCATGTCAGAACTTACTGATTACAAAAAGTAGTGAGTGTGTGTGTGTGTGTGTGTTGCTTCTGACCTGCTGAAGGACTGACCCCATTGACGGAACCCTGAACCTCCGTCTCTTCTTCTGCATAACTCAGCAACAAGGAGCGCTGTCTCCGCGTCAGCTTCCTGCAGCAACATGAGAACATGGAGGGTAAATATAATACAGAGATGTAAATAATAAATTAGTGTGAACAGAGACCTAATGTCACGGTTTGAGTGGGTCTTACTTTGGCACTTTGATCTTGATGTGAACGTAATGATCTCCATAACTGTAGCTGTTGAGTCTGCGGATGCCTTTCCCCTGTAACCGGATCACCTGATCGGCCTGACAGCCAGCAGGAATCTGGAAACAGAGAGAGGCCAGCTCTTAGGCCGAGGACACACCGGCTGCTGAAGCGCTCACGAAATCCAGCCGCTGCTCCTCAGTTCAGACCAGACGCTTGTTTCTCCGCTCGAGGCGCGCCTCGTAGTTTTTCTTTTAACCACTTGGTGTTCTCCATTTCCTCTCCGCCTTTTCTCTGCTCTTTTCCTCGACACCCCCCTCCCCCTTGCTGTGTGTGTGTGTGTGTGTGTGTGTGTTTGTACGTGTGTGTGTGTGTGAACCTATGGTGTGAACAAGTTGTTAATAACTGGCCTACGACTTTCTGCCTCTGTCCTGTTTGCTCTGGTTGAAAGACACCCAAAACCACACCCCTTTCACGTGGTCACACACACACACACACGTTTGCTGTGTGTGTGTGTGGTTTTTATGCCGTGTCTGTTTACGAACACATTTGACTATCGCGGAATTGCATTTTGAAATGCTTTATTTTGATTAATTTACCGGCCTGCCTCTTATGTCATGGTTTGACTTCCTGCCAGAATTAACGCGGTTGACCCGCGGCTCACGAAAAAAATAGAGCAGACGCCAAAACGATCGCTGCACGGCGCGGGCTGCAGCGCGCGGCGCTTCGGCGGCCCATGAGGTCTATAGAATAGGATAACAAGGGCGCCGAATGAAGGCGGTCCCCTTTTCTCGGCGCTTCGGCGGCCGGTGTCCCCCCGGCGTTACTCTGAACTCCGGGTTAAGAAACGCACGAAAGGTCAAAGTTCACGAGGTAGCCCGGACCTCAGCAACTTCTAAATAAAGCCCAGTTTAGTGAAACATGACAAGAACCACCGGACTGGGACAAACAGTTCCTATTTTCAAAGATTTAACCAGGTATAATTGCACAAATGACACGTTTCATTATAGAAAGCAAATTAAAATGAGCAGGAACAAGTTGAAGCTGTACAGATACAACACTTTAAGCCCCGATTTACTCACCGCCATGCTGACGGTTTCATACAGGCCCTGTGTTGTGGCCGTGCCTCCCAGGATGGCCTGAGCCACGGAGATGAAAGCATCAGAGTGGATGTCTGCTCCGTTCCGTCTAAACACTGGGCTCGACTGGACCTGCAGACGTCAGAAACAAAGCATCAGAATGAAGCTTCTAAAATATTAATCCAACCATAACTAGAGTTTAGAACAGCCAAGGGTCCAGCGTGTTTAGCACCAGAATGGTCCAGGTTTAGCCTGTTAAACATTAAGAGAGTGGTCTTAATGTTTTGGCTGAGGGATTATAATCAAACCAATCACTCTGAAACGGGATATTACGGCTTTACCACATGAAATCAGCGCTGCTGTAAAACTACACTCACCCTGAAGGTGATGAGGATTTCTTTAGTCCCTACTGGCATGCGTATGGTCTGGCCGTTGTCCACACCTGGAAAATAAACACACAAGTTCAGGTGTTCTCAAAACGAAGAGCCTCAGACCTGCGTAGTCTCGGGAGGCCCGCCTGACCGCATCACCTGTCCTCTGATGATCCACTCACCAGCAGGTACAGGTACGGTGACCCACTGCCTCTTCTTGATCTGGCCTGACCCTCTGCACAGAGCGCACGGAGTGCTTATGATGGAGCCTTTCCCGCCACACCTTCGACACGTGGCGCGCATCATGAAAGGACCGGTGTTGATGGTCTCCTGCAGGAGGAGAGATGGGAAGAAAAATTCTGAAACGAAGGTTTCAGGGATCTGAGCAGAAAGCTTCTGCCTGAACCCACCGTTCCCGTGCCTTTGCAGTAGTGACACTGAGACACTTTGGTGCCCGGCTCGCTGGCCTTTCCGTGACACCTCGGGCAGACATCATCAATGTTCACACTCAGCTCCTTATTTGCCCCCTTAGCTGCCTCGGAAAACGTCAGTTCCATCAGATACTGAGGAGAAACACAACATCAATGAGCTATAGTGTAATTGTATTCAACAACACTCTCTGCTCCGCGCTGTGCGTTACCTCAGGCCTCTGGTCAAACATGTTGTTGATGTCTCCAAAGCCCATGCCTCCTGTAAACTCCCCGAAGATCTTCCTGAAGAGCTCCTCGGGGTCAATGGTGGCTCCACCTGCTCTGTAGTACTGCTGCTGGCCCGCTTCAGTGCGGTTCGGGTCAAATCCCGCCGCTCCGTATGTGTCATACTGTTTTCTCTTCACCTCATCACTAAGCACCTAAAATAAAACACTTCAACAGCTGAGCAGTAATTTACTCTGCAGAACTCACCGACTATAGGTTTTACTAGCGGGGGGGGGGGGGGGGGGGGGGGGGTGTATTACACACATGAAACACAGCAGCTCTACCTCATAAGCTTCAGCCAGCTGAGCGAACTTCTCTTTCGCCTCCGGATCGTCTGGATTGGTATCTGGATGGTACTTCTTTGCCAACTGGAAACAAAAACATGAAAAACGGAAAGAAAAATCCAACTGTGTCAAATCTCATTCCAACAAAAATCAAGAATTTTATTCTAAAAAGAAAATTTCTCAGAACTTTTGCTGCTTTCCATTCAGAATCACCAGCATGGATAAATGTGAGTCGATGGAACAAAGGTGACCTGATAGTAAGCCTTTTTGATTTCCTTTTGTGAGGCACTGCGGTTGACACCTAGGACTTCGTACAGGTCTTGTTTGCTTGAGACTCTGCAGCTGGAGTGGAACGAGCAGCAGGTACTTCCACGCACACATCCCACACCTGTCGACGAGAAAATGCAAAAGTGTATTTACTCCAACGCCACAAAAATAGAACATTCCTGCAAAACCAGAAGCCTAAACATCAAACGTGTATCCAAGTGACATCATGTCACAGATTCCAACTCCAGTAAACGCTCATTAGGAATATCTGCACTGCACACAGCGAGTCTTACTGCGGTAGCATAAACGGTCGTGGACAAGTTTCGAGAATGGCACAAATATTAGTTTCCACAAAGTTTGCTGCTAAACTGCTTTTAGATCTTTGTTTCAGTAGTTTCTGAGATGTACTGAAATATGATTACAAGCACTGCACGTGTTTCAAAGGCTTTTATCAACAATTACATGACAATGAAAAAGGGTCTTTACAGTGAGTGTTGGCCCTTCTTTGTCAGGACCTCTGCAATTCGACTGGGCATGCTCTCATTCAACTTCTGGGCCAAATCCTGACTGATAGCAACTCGTTCTTTCAGAATCACTTCTTGGAGTTTGTCAGAATTAGTGGGATTTTGGTTGTCCAGCCGCCTCTTGAGGATTGACCACAAGTTCTCAACGGGATTTAGGATCTGGTGAGTTTCCAGGCCATGGACCCAAAATTTCAACGTTTTGGTCCCCGAGCCACTGAGTTATCACTGTTGTCTTATGGCAGTGTGCTCCATCATGCTGGAAAATGCATTGTTCTTGCTGTCGGAGGGTGTTTTGGCACCATTCCTTATTCATGGCTGTGTTTTGGGCTAAATTGTGAGTGAACCCACTCCCCTGGATGAGAAGCAACCCCACACTTGAATGGTCTCAGGATACTTTACTGTTGGCATGACACAGGACTGATGGTAGCGCTCACCTTTTCTTCTCCAGACAAGCCTTTTCCAGATGCCCCAAACAATCGGAAAGGGGCTTCATCAGAGAATATGACTTTGCCCTAGTTCTCAGCAGTTCACTTGTCATACTTTTTGCAGAAGATCAATCTGTCCCTTATGGTTTTTTTGGAGTGAAGTGGCTTCTTTGCTGCCCTTCTTGACACCAGACCATCTTCCAAAAGTATTCGCCTCACTGTGCGTGCTGATGCACTCACACCTGCCTGCTGCCCTTCCTGAGTAAGCTCTGCACTCCGATCCTGCAGCTGAATCCTCGTTAGGAGACGATCCTGGCCCTTGCTGGACTTTCTTGGACGCCCTGAAGCCTTCTTAACAAGAATTGAACCTCTTTAGTTGAAGTTATTGATGATCCTATAAATTAAGGCTGCACAATATATCGAAATATTATCGTCATCGAGATAACAGGACGTGCAATAGGCCCATCGCAAAGCACATCAAAAACGGCGATAAATGTTTGGTTAAACATTTCCATCCGTGTCATACATCAACTTTTTGTAAACCAGCTTTTTTTACGCGGAAGTATTATTTGACCAATCAAATGTAGTCCTTCTGATATGCGGCCAATCAGATGGGTCCGTTCACGTAATACGCCCGCCCCCTACGTAGACCCTTAGGATGGGTGCTTCCCTTGTTCGTCATGCTGGCTCAGAGCAACGAACGCACTTTGTGCTGAGGTTTCTGGAATCCGCGCTGCTTTCAAACGTGAACGTGAGTCCGCTCGGTGTCGTTAAGCAGCTGATAATAACCGGGCTGACTCCGACACGTGCCGGTGAACCAACCCACCTTCATGTTGCTAGTGTTAGCCCCAGGCTCCGGTTAGCTTCCAGCTAAAAGGCTACAGCACTCTCCTCCCAGTCCCACCCTGCTAGAGAGGGCCTGGAAAGGTTCCCCCACACATCAAAGTGATTTTTCATTTATGAGCTTTTATAACCTTGTTAATCAGGATAGTTGATTTGCTGCTGCACATAAACTGTCAGTCAGAAGCTCTGCTAGCCGCTTATCTTAGATGAGCTAGTTCAATGTGTTAGCTTGTTATCAGAATCATAGTTGCAGTTTCATCATCTGAGCTGCTTTTTAAGATCTAGGTAAACTTGTTCAATTTGGGGTTAAAAACAAACGTTTTCACGTATTTTCCATGTAGTTTTTTGCCAGTTCCTCTTCTGAAAGGTAGACAATTGTTTTTCTCTTTCCCTCAGAAAATCTTAATATTCTCTTAGTTTGGCCCAGCACAGTTCACTTCCCAGTTACAGCAACAGCCTTATATCATAACCACATAAGTGGAGAAAATGCTCAGTGGCAGAGAGAATTTGCTGTTGCATTTAAGTGATGTTAACTATTATTTAACATTTAAACTTATTTTCTGATTTTATTATTTATTCTAAAAACCCTGGTAAGGGATGTTTTTCTGTATTTGGAGCATCAGAAAAAGTTTTATGGTGGAGGTGATGTTTTAAAGTCACTGAGAAACTGCAAGCATGCAGTTTGTTGTTTTGCTGCTAATACAGTAGCAGGTGTAGCTGCTAATACAGTAGCGGGTGCAGCTGCTAATACAGTAGCGGGTGCAGCTGCTAATACAGTAGCAGGTGCAGCTGCTAATGCAGTAGCAGGCGCACCTGCCTTATACAGTAGCAGGTGCAGCTGCTAATACAGTAGCAGGTGCAGCTGCTAATACAGTAGCAGGTGCAGCTGCTAATACAGTAGCAGGTGCAGCTGCTAATACAGTAGCAGGTGCAGCTGCATATTTTTGCAATAAAAATGTTATGTTGTAATGGAATTCATGCATTAGTTTTTGTTTGCTTTGAACCCAGAGCAGACGTCACACGCCAGACGACATCAACACTGCATACTTTAGTATTTGTTCATTTATCGCGAGTAATATCGATATCGCAATATTAAGCACTGTTATTGAATATCGCAGGTTTTCCTAATATCGTGCAGACCTACTATAAATTGTTGATTTAGGTGCTATCTTAGTAGCCACAATATCCTTGCCTGTGAAGCCATTTTTATGCAACGCAATGATGGCTGTACGCATTTCTTTGCAGGTCACTATGGTTAACAATGGAAGAACAAAAATTTCAAGCATCATCCACCTTGCCACCAAGTCTGCCATTCTAACCCAATCAGCCTGACATAATGATCTCCAGCCTCGTCAACATTCCCACCTGAGTTAACAAGACGATTACTGAATTGATCTCAGCAGGTCCTTTAATGACAGCAATGCAGAGGAAAGTTTTTTTGGGGGGATTAAGGTAATGTCCATGGCAAAGAAGGACTACGCAATTCATAGGGATGGGTACCGAATTCGGTACTTTTTAAGGTACCGACAGAATTCCACAGTACCGACCGAGCACCGATTCACGTCATTTGAAACAGTGCCTCGTTTCGGTACCCGTCCTTCACAACGAGAACTCGCCTAGACAGCTGCGCAAGAGCGTTATGTCGTCGCTCGCTGCGAGTGAGTTGTAAACAGAGCAGCATGGTAGAAAGAACGCACGCTAAAGCTTGGGTCCACTTCACTAAATGTGATGGGTAACTGGGTGATGATGAAACCAGCGACAACGATCTAAGTGAGACATCCTCATCTTAATCTGCTCCGGTAGGTAAATAAAATGTTTAAGATAATGTTAGCTTGATTTGATAGCTTCCGTTTCGCTAATAGTGCGTTCGCTTTCTCTTCGGAACTCCGAAATTCCAACTAGAAGAACACAAACGCGCTCTAAAGTTTGGCTTCACTTTACTAAATGTGACGGGTGACTGGGTGAAGACGAAACCAGTGACGATCTAAGTGTGAGGCATCATCGTTTTAATCTGCTCCAGCAGTTAAATAAACCGTTTAAGATAACGTTAGCTTGATATGTTAGCTTCCATTGCCACCGTTATCAGCTAATGGTGCGTTCGCTTTCTCCTCGGAAATTCTAACTTCCCAGTAGGAAAAATCAAATGAAAAAGGACGGCAAAAGGAATGAAGATACACAGTAAATTTAGTTCACAGTAAAGATGTTTGCTTCAGTTTAATTATCAGCTTATAAAACTACAAGGATGATGTTAAAATACGAACAGTTGTATGTTATTTATCGTGATATTTATCAAATATGGATATATATTGAGAAAAATATATATCTAATTATAAAAGAGAATTAAAATAATAAACACTCAAAAGTATCGAAAATTGGTACCGTTAAGTACCGGTATCGATTCCTAGGTACCGAGAATTAGTACCGGATCGATTCAAATGTCAAAGGTACCCATCCCAACATCCTGGAGTATATGCAAATTGCTATTATAAATGTTTAAGCAGCATCTTTTCCAGTTTTCCATATTTGTGTCATTCTCAAATCGTTTGGCCACGACTGTACTTAGATATAAACGCGTGGTCCCAGGGTTAGGGTTGTCATGAACAACTCACGGTTTTACATAAACACACAGATCCAGAGTCAAGAGCTCCACGATAACACCACATAGATTTTTGTTTTCAGGGTAAACTGAGCTTTATTACAGCCATATTCAAAGCGACGCCGTGACTGTTCCCAACTGCATTTCTCTGCAGCCACTGTGACTTTTTTACAGCAACTAAGAAACCGCAGCATTGCTAGGAGTGGATTTTCTCTTTACTGTAAACTCTCTTTTTAATCAATTACCTTTTATTGCAGGCTACACTAATAGCCTAAAGTCTATCTTTACCTGCATTATATTCTTAATTTATTTGTGTATGGGCTGCCTTTTCATCACCACTGTGGGATTAAAAGTCTATTCATTCATTTTAGAGATGATCAACTCTGTCTTATTCAGCATTAATAAGATGCTGATAAAACTGAACGATGCACTTTAGACATTAGAAGCAAGATCCAGACCTTCATTAAAAGACGAATCATTAAAACTTCTGATGAAGACCATTGATATGTTTGAACAGCTTAAGCATTCCTGTCACGTGACTGAGGGGATGGAAGTCTGCCTTTGATGCAGCAACTCCACTCCGAGCTTAAAACACCACGGAAGCACATCCCAACTGCCTGGCAAGCCAGACTGAACATGTTATTAAAACTTGGTCTAGTTTACTAGGCTGATTCTAACTACCTACAGGCTGTAATACCTGTAGTTCAGCAGCTTTCAGATCCAGATGACAAGCAGGTTCCTGCTAGCTAACCCCATCTCACCTTGCGGTCCGCTCAATGTCAGCCCATTTCCGCGACTCCAGGAGCTCAGGCTGGCCGCTATCCCTCCCCGGTGAGCCCGCCATACCGTCGCTTGGTGAACTCCCCAAACAACAAGAAAACGGCCGCTTAAAGGTGCACAAGACGCCGTAGCCGCTAACAAGCGTGTGGTGAACCGGGTTGTGGAGTACGCCATGACTGCGTCACTTCCTGCAGCAAGTCAGCGTAGGGGCCAATAGGCATTATAGGCAAGTGCTAGGGGCGCCAGCCAGCCAGGGGGCGCCCTGGCGCCACAAAAAAAATTAAAAAGGTTACGTAACGTTTGTAAAGCAAGTTGATATTAATGTGTCTTAATATTAAAATATCAAGCCCACAACATACCTTCTTAGCAAAGTTTATTAAGTAGCGCAGTGTGCATTTAAAAATGATTAATGATACGTCACTATGTGTTGCCGCTGCGCGTGGCGCCCACTTCGCCCCCTCCCCTTCTTTAGCTACGGTTGTTTTGATGAGTCAGCTAGTTCATCATGTCTAAACGGCCTAAATTATCTGGAGCCCAGGGGAGGAAAAAAAGAAAAGAAGAGGAGGAAAAACGCGACAAAGACAGAGGTAAGGTGTAAAATATTGAAATTAAATGTTGATTTCATGACGTTATTAATTAGCACTCTGGGGATGCTTTAGTAAGTAAGTAAGTAAAAGTTTATTTATATCGCGCCTTTCTCAGATATGAATCACAAAGCGCTGTACAACATGATGAAGATCACGGCAAATACCTCTAACCAATAAAAACATCAGAAAAACAATAGCAGTGATAAACGTAGAAAATAAAATCATGAGTATAAACAAAGTGAAGGTGTGAACCCGAACAAAGCCATCATTCTGAAACATTTATGGAGAGAACGCCTGGATGAAAAGGTGAGTTTTTAGATGATTTTTAAAGACCTCTACAGTTGTAGAGAGACGGAGATTTGAAGGTAGACTGTTCCAAAGTCTGGGTGCAATAGTCTGAAAGGCCCTGTCCCCTTTGGTTTTCAGTCTGGCTCGAGGAACAGCCAGGAGGTTTTCAGATGTGGATCTAAGGTTCCGAGAGGTGGTGTGTGGGGATAAAAGCTCAGATAGGTAGCTTGGAGCCTGGTTGTTAAGAGCTCTATAGGTCAGGACTAAAACTTTAAACTGAATTCTATATTCTACCGGGAGCCAGTGGAGGGACTGTAAAACTGGAGTGATGTGAGCTCGTCTGCTGGATTTGGTTAGGAGTCTGGCTGCTGCATTTTGGATGGCTTGAAGGCGTGAGAGGGAGGTTTTGCTGAGACCAGTAAAAAGAGCGTTACAGTAGTCTAAGCGTGATGACACAAAGGCATGAATGATTTTTTCCAGATCTGCAGTAGAAACCAGTTTACGGACTTTTGAAATGTTTCTCAGTTGAAAGAAACAAGAGCGGGAGATGGTTTTACGTGTGAGTCTAAACTTAAAGCTGGATCAAAAATAACTCCTAGGTTTCTAATGTTGGCCTTGGCTGATGGGCAAAAAGAGGCAATTTCCTGCTCGGTTTTTGGCTGAAGTTCCGGGGGTGCAGTGATCAGGGTCTCTGTCTTGTTAGCATTTAAGACAAGAAAGTTGCTGGACAGCCAATTACTGATCTGGGTCAGGCAGAGTACAAGTGTGGCCAGCCTGTCCAACTGGTGCGGCATAAAGGACATATAGAGCTGAATATCATCAGCGTAGATGTGGCAGGAGATGTCTGGGAAAGACTGAATGATGCCAGCTAGAGGAAGAATATAGAATGCAAATAGGACAAACTAAGCTATTTTCTTAATAGTGTAACGTTTGTGCAGCACTAAAGCATGAGACACAAATATATTAGCTCTTAACAATGGTTTATTAAAGTTGTTAAACAGCTGGTATAAGCTGCATATCTGGCTCCCAGACTGTAAACATTCAGTCAAACAAGCAACGCGTCGATAACAGAGCAGCAGCAACACATTACAGCAACCTGGGATTATTTTAGCGCTTTGGAATATTTTCTGATGTTTTGTGTTCTGAGAATTCAGTGTTTCTTAATAACGCCTAAATGTTATATGATGGTCCTTGGTAAATGTCTGATAGTTTCTTTACAATTCTGTCTGTTTTATATTTTTATGAGTAATTTTTTTAAACCTCATAGTAGAAATTTATTTGCATTTTGCAAAAATTCTCATTGATGGTTTTCTACTTTAAATTATTGCAACAGATTATTGTTGCAAAAAAAGTTATAGTATGTCAATGTCCGAGTTCAATGGAAAACCCGCTGTTAAACAGATACAGATCAGCAGCACTGAGAACATTGGCCTGGTTCAAAAATGTCTTGCATGAGACTCATCTACGTCTGCTGCCAGTTTAGCTCAAATGTTTTCATGAACACTGCATTCTGCATACATTTCTGGGTTTTTTTCTCCAGAATTTTATTTTATTCTTGAAATCATGTATTGATGTTTAGCTTGGTGTCATATACTCCTCTTCTGTCTTCAGATGCGCTGCTGAAGTTTCTATGTCCCTCCCCTGCAAATCCTCCTATCGCCTCCACCTCAGCCGAACAATTAAGCAGTGATGTTGCAGCATCATGCACTCCTCCTGTTGCCTCCACTTCAGCAGCACACCTTAGCAGTGATGCAGCAACATCAAGCACATCTTCTGCTTCTCCAGTAGACCCTGCTGACTGGCCATCTCCTCTAACAGATAAGGTACGAACAGAGTTGGTTCACAGAGGTCCATTTCAAATTGAAAATAGCTTCACATTCCCTAAACAAAAAGATGGACGAAGGTGTCAACATGACTTTTTTAACAGACTCTTAGTCAATGGAGAAAAAGTCAGAAGAAGCTGGCTTATGTATTCTAAAAAAGAGGATAGCTTGCACTGCTTCTGCTGTAAAATCTTTTCTAAAAGAGAGTAGAAATTGACTAGGGAAGGACTAAAGGACTGGAAAAATGCAGGTCACTTGCTCAAGGCCCATGGGGAGAGCAGAGAACATAATGCTCACATGGCAACGTGGAAGGACTTGGAGGTCCGTTTTGTGAAAGGGCTCACTGTAGATAAACTAGAGATGGCACTATCTGAGGCTGAGAGAAAACGGTGGCGTGATGTCTTACATCGGTTGGTGGCAATAACTCAGTCTTTAGCTGAAAGAAACATGGCATTTAGGGGTCCACAGACACACTAAACAAACCAGACAATGGACATTTTCTAAAAGAGGTGGAGCTTATGGCCAAATTTGATCCAGTGATGAAGCAGCTTGTTAGCAGAGTAGTAAGTGGAGCTGGCAGTCACATCAGTTATCTTGGCAAAACAATCCAAAATGAACTGATAGACTCCATCAGTTGTAAAATAATAGAACATATTGTGAAAGACATTAAAACCTCCAAATACGTTTCCATTATTTTAGACTGCACCCCCGATCTGAGTCATAAGGAGCAGCTCTCGGTCATAGTCAGGTTAGTGTCACAAGAAGACATTCCTCAAGTTAAAGAGCATTTCTTGGGATTTCTTGTTGCAGAGCAATCAACAGGAGAACATTTGACATCTCTTATCCTAAAAAGGGTAGAGGAACTTAATATCCCATTTGAGGACTGCAGAGGCCAGTCTTATGACAATGGCGCCAACATGAAGGGGAAAAACAAGGGTGTTCAGGCAAAGTTGCTTCAGCTGAACTCAAGAGCTTTTTTTGTCCCATGTGGTGCCCACACTTTAAATCTGGTTGTAGCCGATGCTGCAAGAAGCTCACCAGATGCTCTCAGCTACTTTGGGCATCTAATCAAGTTATTCAAGCTCTTCTCAGCCTCCACCCATAGGTGGGATGTCCTCCTAAAATATGTCAAAATCACTTTGAAAACATGGGCTGAGACCAGGTGGGAAAGCAGAATAAAAAGCATGGAGGCAGTAAGGTATCAGACTGGGCAAATCAGAGAGGCTCTACTAGAGTTGAGGGGAACAACCGCAGACCCTGTGGTAAGAGTCTTTGGCTGAGGAGATTGGATCCTATCACGTTTGCATTTGTACTGCCATATGGTATGACATTCTGAGCAAGATCCAGTATGTCATTAAACTGATGCAGTCACCCTCCATGCAGCTTGATGTGGCTGTAGACTTGCTGAAGAAAACCAGAGATTCCCTCACCAGTTACAGAAACACTGGGTTTTGCGATGCACAGACAACTGCAAAAGAAATGTGTGAGGAGATTAACGTGGAGGCTGAACTGAAACAAAAGCGGTTGAGAACCACAAAAAGGCACTTTGGCAATGAGTCTCCAGATGAGCCATACAAGATGCACTGCACAAAATGGAAACCACATTTTTTAATGTGGTCGTGGATACTGCCGTTGCTTCTCTAGATGAAAGATTTCAGAATCTTGGAGGAGTGAATAAGACCTTTGGTGTGCTCCTCAATTTCCCCTATTTAGGAGAGGAAGACTTGCTACAGCAGTGCCAAGCTTTAAGTACTGCTCTGACCCATGACAGTCAGCCAGAAATTGATGGCACAGAACTCGCAAAGGAAATGCAGAATTTCCCACCATTGCCATCAAAGAATATGACAAGTATGGAACTCTTGTCCTTCGTGCATGAGAAAAAACTGGCAGAAATTTACCCGAACTTGTGGGTTGCTTTGAGAATCTCTGCCACCCTTCCTGTTACAGTGGCTGCAGCTGAAAGAAGCTTCTCTAAGCTCAAGATGATTAAAACTTATTTGAGATCTACTACTAGGGCTGCAACAACGAATCGATAAATTCGATGAAAATCGATTACTAAAAGCGTTGGCAACGAATTGCGTCATCGATTCGTTGTGTTGCGCAACTCTTCCAAAAGCCCCCTCCCCTCCCGCCCGCCGTTGCGCGCAGACCGGTGGAGAGCCGGTGTCGGTACAGTATCTGCTCGGGTGCAAGATCGGCTCGGGGTCCTTCGACTGCCGATGACGTCAAAGTACGGCAAACCGACTCGGACAAAATACACTACACGTCTATACTGTTGGAAAGAATTTAGCACTTTCGTTATTAAAATAACGTTTCTTAAGATGTAAGTTTGTGTTTATAATGGTATTTGTAAAATAAAACACTATATCTTATTCATAATGTTGAACTCCTCTTTGAGCACATCCCTTGAAGAATCATAGGTATTAGCAACACCTGTGAAATTTGCAGGAAAGAAGTGTGTCCCGTTTATTTAAGTATTTTGTGTTTAGAGTTTTTGACATCTTGTCAT